AAAAAAATAAATGACAAGGGAATGTATTACAATTCTTATTACACATATTTTTTACACAATTTTTCATATCTCTGGTTGTATATAAAGTACATTGACACCAATTTGTGAGAATCATTTTTAGAGCCAYGAAAGAGCTGTGGAAACAAGGATGATCTGAAATTCCAGAGAGGCTGGGCATGGTGGTGCACTGATGCCTACAATCCCATCTCACTGGGAGGCTCAGGCAGGAGGATCAGCAACTTGTTGAGACCCCATTAGTGGTAGAGTACCCCTTGGTTAAATACCCAGTACTGAAAAAAAAGATTTTTTTTTTTTTTCAGAGAAGCAGAACATTTTTGAGCTGAGCTGACAATCACCACTTTTTTCCCTTTGTTAGGGGTGGGAAGAAGGAGGTTGGCTGATTCCAGACTCAAATTGAATATCAAGCTTTGTTCAGGCAGGGAAGGGAAGGATAAGAAAGATTTTTTTTTTTTTTTTGGACTGTGCAAGACTAGAGAGAACATCAAAAGCCTGAAGTGGTCTTGAACACAAACTGATTTTCTCCATAGGATATTTGCTAGGATTTAGGAGTGCATGTTTGACAAGGGCACCTTTAAAACTGGGGAAACTAAAGAGGCACAATCGTTGTCCTGAATAACTCCGTATGTCTTACCTATTCTCTGTAAGTTGTTTTCTTTCCCTTCCCAGCTTCATCTTGTGCTAGGAGTGGAAACTGACCCCTTAGCCACCCAAGCACTGCACCAGCAGGACTCAGAAGCAGGCTTCTAACAAGCACATACCTACCTCTTGGTAGGACATCAGTCTGGCCAAAATTGCTATGGGAACGTATGTCCCTCGGATCCTGGTTTTGTTCTTCCTCTGTGTGATCCTAAAGCCATCATCAGTACAGGGAAGATGACTTTCTGGACTGAATCTTCTGGCATGGAAGGGCAGAAGTGAGATGGTCCTGGGTATTGTGAGCATACTTGGGGCGGGGGGCTTTCCCTGGGGCTTCAGCCTCACTGAGGAGGGACCAGGCTGTTCCTTGAATAAAAGAAAGAGCCTGCTTTTTCTAGATCCTTTGGGTTGGACCAGGATCTACTATTTCCCACTGGTCATGAATGGGGTATTTTTTTCCAAGGAATTTTTTCATTATGAAAGATATAGATCAGTAATCATTTAGTTTGTTCTGGGAGACATCTTGGCTCCAACATTCTGGCTTTTATGGTGCACCTGGTCTGGTGGTTGTCCTGGTCCCTGCAGTAAGATTGTCGAAAAACATGGGTGGGAAGGAAGAAGGGGAAAAAGCATGCCAAATTTAAGTAATGACAGGCCTGTGATGGCCCCTAACTGTCTCCATACTGAAGATAAATTCCTTTCTTGCTTCATTATTATTTCTCTGGGTTAACTGGACTTTGAAGGCAGCAGGTGACCACACCCGATACCCCCCAGAGTCAGGCTTCTGACCCAGGACTCTGGCTACGCATGTCGGGCGAAGGAGCAAGACTGACATAAACCGTCAAAAGACAAAATTGTAACAGATTTAGTCTAAAGGCCTTAATCGGCTTTATTTATTATGCTAAATTCCAACAACACTTCATTCTGCAAAATGGACTAAGTGTTCCAAAGAGCTGAGCAGAAGAGTTTACAGAGAAGGGGTGCAGAAATCAGGAACAACAACATCAAAGAGCAGATTGAGCTTTTGCTTTGATTTCAAAATTACTTTCCTTATAAGGCAGGGTCATAGAGACCACAGAAAGATAAATGTACAAGTAAATAAATATGCAGGCAATGAACTGAAAGGCACACATTAGATAAACACAAAATGTTCAACATCTCTA